TTATTATTTATCGTAAATTTTATAATTATATTATATTTTTTTTCTTAGGTGGAAAATTAAAGAAGTCGTCAACTTGTTGGTTAAATGCCGTGGCTCTGATTTCTCCCTAATGAAATAAATTTTAGTTTATAAATTAGGTTTAGATAATCAATCATTTTAAATAATTATAAAAATAATTATAAAAATAATTATAAAAATAATTATAAAAATAATTTAAAATAATAATAAAAATAATTATAAAAATAATTATAAAATAATTATAAATTATTATCATAAACTTACACTATTATCCAACAAAGTAACATTAAACAGTTTCCCTTCTCCACGCTTGTTTTGCCAACGCTTAATTTCTGATTTCGAACCTACGAATCCTTTAATTTTCCACCTAAGAAAAAAAATATAATATAATTATAAAATTTACGATAAATAATTATAATAAATTCCAAGATAAAATTAATTGATAATTACTTGTTATGGTATGGACTGAGATAACTAATTGGGAAAACTCCCTCATCAGCATCATTTACTTGAGACGTGATTGGTCGTATGCTAGGTTGTTGAGGAGGCCTAACTTGAGGTGCTTGAGGTCTTTGTAAAGATTGTGGTGGCATAATTTGAGGTGGATTATTGGATCTTTGTGACATGACTGGTCCTCGTTGTTGTTGTTGTTGTTGTTGCTGATGTTGATATTGTTGTGTTTGTTGTTGTTGTTGATAATCTCTTTGTTGACGTTGTTGTAGTGATTGTTGTAATGGTGGTTGTTGTTGTTGTTGTGATTGTTGTATTTGAGGTCTTTGTAGAGAGTTTGCTTTTGATTCTTTTGATTCCCGTTCGTCAGTAGGCTTGGGATTTCCAATTATTGGTCGTACACTGCTGACTAAATCACACGACTGAACAACAAGAACTCTGGAAAAAAAAAGATATCAGTCAAACGATATTAAAATCATTATATCATCTTTATTTATTAATGTTATTAATGATTAATTTATTATTATTATTATTTTTGATGATGATGAATAATAATAAATTACTAACTTAGGTGATCCGGAACTATGAGTTGCAGTCAAACTATAACTATTCAGACGGACCAGTTGACCTCTTTCCAACAGTCCTTTACCTAAAGTCTTCATAATTGTCGAAGTGACCATTGCTATATAAAAATATATATATATAAATTATTTCTTGATAAATTATTTTTTTATTTTTAAATATATTTAATATATTTTATCATTTAAATTTATTTTAATAATACCTTGTACATATTCACGACCATCTGAAAACGCCACTCTATTGTAATAAGACAATGATTAAAAAACATATACATATATCAAGACGCGTGAACAAATAATATAAAACACTGATTTGAAATAGCCAGAAGTAATAGCAATAATAACTTTTTTTATTATTTCTTTTAAAAAAATTTTTTTTTTTTGTGATCTACTAACCTATATCTTTGTTGTGAGGCGTTTTGGGTGTTTTGGTTAGTTAAACCAACTTTCATTACTTGAAGAATTGGTTTTTCTGGAAGAGGTTTTTCGTTTTCAAATGCAGCGAACATAGGTTTAAGAATACCAGTACTGACTTGTTCGACCATTTTTTAATTTTTTTTAATGACCCGTTATTACTATTATTTTGTTTTTCTTGAAAAAGAAGGGAGGGAATATATTTTGTTACGCGCAGACATTGATCTAGTCGCGATTATCGCCTGTGTTCATGTGATATGCCTAAGCCCCTTTTCCTTGACATATCACCTCATGTCATTCTCTCATTTTCGCCCACACGTGATTGGTTCGTTTGAACATTGGCATACAGATTGTTCAGGACAAGTTCTACTTCAAATAATATGGATCTTTAAATATAAATTCGAAATGTATATATTCATGAATATGAATTGAGATTACAGATTATAAAAAAAAAAAAAAGATATATACGCATATGCAGGTTAGTTTATGCTTTTACATTTACTAATTTTTATTGTATTTTGAAAAGTATCCCAACCATTGCCCTTCTATATTTTCTCTTTTGTGCATAAAGGACAGGGTTACTGAACAATAATTTAGAAATTCATTACTGTACTTCAAAGATAAATAAGGAAAGCACTTTAATATCATTTTGATAACGTGTGCTCGCTTCTCTTTAGAATCTTTGGGTAATGTAGAAATCTGAGGTCGGGATTTGGTTACGTGAGACGTAAATGATCTTACCTGAGGTATAGGTGAAGCTTTCTTTTCAAATAAGGATAATGCGCTTACTTGAGTTTACTTCTCTGTTATTTATGGAGCTTAAGTTCTGATATTCATTATTTCACAAGAATAGCCATTAATCGGTATGAATTGTGTTATCAAAAGGGTTAAATGTTATCATGTTCTTCGATTTATTTATAGATCAGATATTAATTTAGTAAAGAAATTAGTCATGAGATATAAAATGAATCAAGTCAAGTTAATTGTTAATAATAAATTTACAGTGTCACTGTGAACTCAACAAAATTAAGTTCCCGATAAATTATAAAGTTACGAGTTAATTAAAATGCATCGTTCTCTATATATATATATTTGTCATCGTGAGAACCAATTTTCCACAAAATACAATCTTTCTTCTCTCCCCTTGTTTTTCTCTACATACATCCAGTGTGTTCATTTTTTTTTTTGTTGGCTGGCGTTTCCGTATTCTGCAACTTATGTCGACCCCTGCTTGTTTCCACCACATTTTTTAGGCTTTCCCTTTTGCTCTTCTCATCTCGATCTAGTTATTATACTTGGCATCTTACAGTTGTGAATTATAATATTTGATAAACTAAAAATTAAACTTCACGTGTTATTATACACTTTTTATTCAGCCATTTCGCCTTGTTCAGTAAACAATCTTACTTATCCTCTATCCAATGAGTAAGTATAATGTATAATGTTATCTGATTCATTGTTGTTAATAGAAGATTACTCATCTCTTTAGAATGTCTGAATCCTCTCTATCCATGGGCACTTAAAACTATTTTTCTCAAACTTTTGAAAAAGAAATTACGATATACGAAAAGCAACTTGATGGTGTGAAAAAAAACTTGACCCGGTTCTATTAATTTTCGTAAATCAAGTATGGGGTC